GGGGACTTGGACGCACCGCTAGCCCCTTCTCCCTTCCCTCCTCTTCCCGAGTTACTTCGGCGCCCTTAGCAGGTTGATGGGTCTGAGTCATTGCCTCAGAATAAGAAGTGTGCATATCAATGAAAAGTTGGAGTCATGACCCAATGTCCGTCATGAACCATCAGCCTTGCTTGCTGCGGATGCTGGGGCATGTCAGGAGGCTGGGTTTGGCGCGGAGCCAGCCTGCCTGCACCAACTGTGAAAGCTGGCAAGTGACTACAATTGCTAGGAAACACTCCGGCGCCGCGCCAAACCCAGCCCTCTGAACGCCTCAGCGCCCGCTGGATGGCTCCTTTCAATGCTGGGTATCGAATTGATGCGAATTGGTTTTTTAATGTTGATTGGAATCATTCAATGAAGCCGCAATTTCTCAAGAGTTCTTCTGATGAAAGGGGAGTATGGGTGACATAATGTTATGCCTTTATTTTCAAGCCTCCTCACTCCACACTGACTGGATGCAGTATGGTCGTTCGTTTCTGAATCATCCCATCTTCTTTCTTCCATTGCTTATTCCTATGCTATGGTTTCGTTTTCCAAGCTTTGACCTACGACTCTATATTACTGTCGCAACGACGCTTCTTCTTTATGCCGGCCACAAAAATGAGGTTCCTTTTTTGTTAATTTGCTAGTAACTCTGTAAATATACACGAAATGGCGCAGATGTTCGTTTGAACTCTATCAGACCCAGAACACATCATCGTTGGGGATTTCGTAACAGGGGGTCGTATTTGATCCCCTGGGGTGGGGGATCGTAGTCGACTTCTTAGAAAATTTGGATCGTTGCCAAAAAATTTCTCGACTGTTGGTTGTTCGCAGTTTTTCCTCTTTCACATGTGCTATACCCCCCCCCCTCCCCCACATCCTCTCCTGGTCGACAACTTGGTCGTATGAGGGGAATAGAGGGTGTCGTGCTTCCCGGAAATTTTCCCCAGCGGCAGGAAGTTCCAAACAAACCGAAACAAGAAAAGGGAAGGGGTTCCTGTCAGGCCACTTTTTAGTGGAAGGGGGAGGGGTCGTAAGGACTCGACTGATTGAGGGTATCTCTAGCAAACCAGCGGGAAAAAATAAAACTACTAAAGAAATTTTACTGACCGTACAGCGGCGCGAGTGCGTTCGTTTCCCTCGCAAGACTTAGCACAGAGGGTTAGTGTCCGTGGGGACTAAGCCCGCAGAACGGACACACAACGTCTGCTCGTGGGCACAACGAAAACCAGATAGCTCTGTTTCTTCACAAGAGCTGTCAAGAGTTCTTGTGGTCATTTCCAAGTTGACAGATAAAGCTTTCATATTGGTCAACTTTTTGGGGTCGGGAGCTGGCCCAGGATCTGGTTCCCAATCCGCGCGCATGGCAAGCGCGTTGCAAGTTGCTCCGCTGTCCGTTGCATTGAGTCATAAACGGACTTCGTTGACCACGCGGGTTATCGTATAAGTTGCAATTAAATTTTTCTACTGTTCCCAATGAACAGCGACTACGAGGCGCGGTAAGGGTGTCTCCAAAATGACCGTTCAACGCTTACTGCGTTATCCTTTCGTGCACTTGAGATATCAATTGAGCGAAGGGCTAAAAGGGGCCTTTTAAAGTTGACGAAGAAACGTTTGCTACAAAATCTGAAGACTGGTCGAATGTCACAGGCTTTATTCTATGATTTCAGAATTTCCCATTCATCACCAATCGCCTTGCAGTGAATCTTGGCAAGATCTTCTATCCACTCTACTTGACTCATTGGCCTATTTATATACTTGCAAAATACCATGTTGGTGCTTTGCATAATGGTAGGTACTTTGAAGTGCTATTTCTCATTTTCTCGGTGCTCAGTGGTGCCGAACAGTTCAAACATGTGAAAAAAAAACGAAGCAAACAAATTTTTAGCGGTGAAAAACTAGTGGTAAGTTCGTGGATGGTAAAAAAAGTACACAGAGGGTCGTTCGGACGAGTTTTCCGCTGACCATCGCTCGCGTTTATACGACTGCGCATACAGCTCAACTGTGTTCTATAAGAGCAAGATTATCACTTCAGCTGTGTTTATAGTAAGACGAAAAGAATTATAGGATGAGAAGGAGCTTTCTGACTAGTTAGGCCTTGTAAGACCCCCTCGGGGACGTTCTTCTTGCCGAAAAACGTCACACATCGCCCAGGCAAACGGTTACCTCCAATGGCTTACCTCCCTGCTGATAAGCATAGTCACTTGGATTCCTTCCTACAAATGAAGGAGCCGTGTCCGATTTTGCACCCACACATGAATATCAGCACCAGGGGAAGTTGGTGTAAACTGTAAATGTTTCGGGGGTTTCTCATGCCTTTCTATTCTCTGGTCCTTCTTCTCTGTTTTTCAGCTCACGCTGGAGGCAAAGTGCACACTCACTCCCAGGGACCGTACTCGTCATGTGCGAGGCGAATGGATCAGCAGCTGCAGTACCAGGCCGCTTTCCTCCGCTTAAAAATGGACAGGAACAGGGCTGTTGCGTACTTATATCCGAGTGCCGCCTATACACTCCGCCTGCGTAGTCATCAAGGTGCTGCGCTTGCATCGGTACCGAGATCCTGCTGCGAAACACGTACTCAACGATAGAGTGCAATCAGAAGTGAGACAGCGCTGACAAGCAAAGCATTTGGCTATGGCCAGGCGCCTAGCTGGTCACCCCATATATATAATTCGCTTCGTCTGTTTGTTTGTTTGTAAGTTTGTTTTGTTTGTAAGTTTGTCTGTCCGGAAATTCGGTTCGACCTGAAGAACGACTTGGAGAGGTCGGGCATAACTTGACAGGTGGGGATGGGTAGAGCATGGGACAAGAAATAAACTTGACATATGCGAAGCCCCGCCCACAGTGGGCGGGGCACTCGCTGAAATTTTGGGGTTCCGCAGAGAAATGTTCATAATTCGCTCTGAAGATGGGGAAAAAGTCTAATAAGGTTAGCAAGGAGTTGCCAGACTACCTGTGGGAGACACCCCAAAATGGGCGGGGCGTACTCAAGGTGGGCGGTGCTTCTCACAAAACTCAGTAACCCGGTTCGCGAGAGTGTTTGGAAGTCGCAAAAAGCTCAGTGTAGAATGTAAATATCTGGCGAGTATTGGGCACGCTCAAAGTGTGTTGAGACCCGCCCACAGTGGGCGGAGCTTGCCCTAATCGCAGGGTATTCATTTTAAAAGTTTGTAGCTCGGTTCCAGAACACTCCAGACACCGGAAAAAAGTGGACTAAGGTCTTTCTGGCCTTTTTGTCTGGCTCCGCCCACTCCGGAGCAGGCTCGTGGGCGGAGCCAGACAAAAACGGTTCCATAGCACTCCGAAGATACGGCCAACTAACTATATCACAACCAAAACTGAGGAAAAAGCCGATCACGGTCGATTCTACAATAGGGATTGAATTTGAAGTAAAGTGCACCGTGCTCGCGAATAGCGGAAGTCTTTAGCTAAACACCCAGAAGCCATGAGAAAACCACAACGAACAATCAAACTGAGTGTGCTTCCATCACAGATGGCCTATTTACACGCCATTGCAAGCTACAGAATGAGAGATCACTACGTGCGTCCCTTCAATATTCCAATATACGGAGACACTGTAACATTCGGATGGACGCCGAAGCGTAAGCCTAATGAAGCCATCCGATCTTATGAAAGCTAGAGGAAATGTGACAAGGATATTTA